CCATACTATACCATATACCATATGTAACATAACATCTACCAAGTCGTAACATACCATACCATACCGTACCATACCATACACATTGACATTTCTCTTTTTTTTTAGTCAATGAAATCCTATTTTGAGCTCATTAGGTGCGCTGGGTTTTGAGAGATACAGTTGAATTAAAAAAGTCTCGAAGGGACACGTTTGTGTACAACCAACGTTTGTGAACCAACTAGCTTATGCAGCTAAAATCTGGAACAGTTTTTTGCTTCTACTATCTTATAAACTAAACCACAAAAGAACTAACGTCAAAATAAAACTAAGTACCAAATAACCTTACCCCTACCATTTGCAAATATTTGGATTTATGATCGGGGGAGAAATATGACACACCTCGCTGCGAGACAGTTGTTGATTCCCAGAGTGTATGAGGTCTGTTACTATCCACCAGAAGCATGTTTATTGAGCTAGTATCTTGTGACTGACAGAGCTGGAGATGTGAAGGGCCCTCAGCTCTGACTGCACTGAAGGAGGATGCAGAGCACAGGGGCCATTTTGGGATGACACTTTCAGAAAAAACAAAGATTCAAAATACTAAAACTTTGAATGGTTTTTCCTGTCCAAGAAGTCAGACCTGGACCCCTTTCTTTTTTGTGAGACAAACAAATTGAGCCATCTTGAGAAATATTAATATAAAGTTGTGCATCTATTTCACGATATAATAAACCATTAAAAGATATAGGCTCTGAGCTTCATAAAGAGTACAGACATTTGCTTTTAGGTTTGGGTTTTTTCCTTTTTTTCCTAATTTTCTTATAATATATTTTCAAAAAAAGAAACAAACACACAGATAATAAATACAGCAGGATCACTGCAAAGAATCATGTCAACTATTGCTAAAATGTAACTTGAGCACATTCTGACTCTGAATTAAAATGAGATTTGCCAATAAAAAAATCTTGTTTTAAAACATAATGTACTCAAATTAATATGGAAAAAAAACACTAGATTCAAGCAATTATTACTTAATATTTATCATTTTATCATCTACAACAGTCAAATGAAACAAGACTCGTAATATTGCCATTATTTATTTGCAGATTTTAAACAGTCATTGTAGATAAGTAAACAGGCCAGACATAATCACATCAGTGGTTATCTTGGAAGACTTTACACAACTCATTAGCAACAGTAGCTCAGTTGGTAGAGCATTGGCCTTTGGGCCGGAAGGTCGTGGGCTCGAGCCCATCCCGGGACCTACTCCAACTGCTCCTGCTAATGTCTGCTGCCGTTCTGTCCTTGGGCAAGACACTTAACCCCACATTGTCTGAAGCTCCAGCTGAAACACCAAGGCTGTGGCACCACTGATGTAGCAGCCATCTTCCTGTGGACTTACCCCCTGCAGAGGATCAGAGAGGGACTGGGGCTATGAGCATTGGGTGGCAGCTCTGATTGTCACCCCTCTAACCCAGAAATGGACTAATAAAGGGGAATGAATGAATGGCTTTACATAACTGTTGAATTTGCCAACACAGATCAGGGAATCAATCGGTTCAAACACGAAAAATTAAATGAAAAAAACACATAGAGCCATTGGTCCATAATGGACAGATGACCATTGTCCATAAATGTTGTCAAATGTTGAGTGTCCTGGATCCTCTGTCTTTCTTTCTTCACCTCTCTTGTGCTGAGAAATTGGACCATATTCCTCTCATTATTACCTCCTCATCCCTCTCCACCTGAATTACCGGGCGCCTGGCAGCCGCTCCGTCTCTCGATGATGATGTCACGTCCTGGCGTCTCCCTGCTCCAGGTACTGTAGCCAGCGCTGTAAAAGAAGTCTGGGAAGGACACATTTGCGCATCCAGTGCCAAAGGACAAATCTGGAAGTTTCTCTTTTCTTTTAGCACTTTTAAAAAACTTTGGATTCATTTACAAAGAGCCCACAGAGGCATATTATGTTGTGTACATGATTTGTTGTATTCAATTTAAAAGATTTACTCAAATAATATTAACATTTTGATCTTAATCCCACCATAAAGCATGCGTATAGCAGAGCATTACGGCCGTGCTCTGGGTGTTTTATGTCTAATATCTATTGATTTTATTATTGCAGTGTATTATGTGCGTTGGTATTGGAGGCTGCAGGTCAGATTTCCCTCAGGGACTATAAAACCGCAGACCTTGAAATCCAGTGGTGTTGTGGTGGTAATAGGTGTCCGGGTAACACTTCTTTATAAAACAAACGTTCGGAAAGACGCAGAGACGCAGCCGCTCGTGCTTTTAATGATGTCTGAAATTCTGTGCCGTGAGTTCGAGCTGTTTTTCTTTTTTTCTTTTACTATTGTCATATAGAAGGACATAACAGCAGCCAAACTGAACAAACATTTTATTTTTAAGGAACTAAAACATGCATTAATCCATGAACTGGTGCCGTTCCAGATTATAATGGCTTGGAATATTGCATTATTTTGACTAGTATGTGACTTAGCTATACTTGTGTGTTGTCGAGTTGAATGAGAGAGATGGGTTGGAGACAAATAAGCATATACTCCTTTTCAAACTTTTCCCTTTCTGTTTATCGTTTTGTTTTAGGTATTTATATAAATATATATAAGTTTGGGGAAAAAAATGTCAATTTAAATATATATTATACATGGATGCATGTCATTAAACCAATATAAATACAATTATCAGTATTATTATGACTGGATTTTCATCATTATATTTTTACTACAGGGGTGGGAATTAATACGTTTTTTTCGATTTTGATTAATATACAATATCATAATAAGTAAGTAATAATAACTAATGATTCATTCATTCATTCATCTGATAATAAGGTCTGATGTACATTGAACTCAAAATAAATCCAACTTTGAACTTTTATTTTTATTTTCCCCTCTTGTTAATTCATTATGTATCCCCATTTCATTCCTGTCTGGATTTGTGTGTTTTATTGTATGAAATTACACATTTGCACTCCTGTATGTTGAGTTCCTTTTTGTCATTTCATTCCACGACAATAACAGTAGGGGATGGAACAAGATCAAGAAAAGTTACATCTGGAACTTTTTGGCGACTTCACTTGTAGCTCTTGACATCTTTTCATTTCATACTTAGGTCTGGAGGTGCTCCATTGAGCTCCGTCTACAGGTGCAGATGGAAACGATTGGATCTGAGTTTACAATGACATATGTAGTGCGGCAGAGTGAGTGTGGCATTTAGCATTTAGCCTATAGCTTTAGCCATCTCCCTTGCCACAAACGGAGCCCATGGGGAGTAGAGCCACAACATCTTTGCAGCGATGACATTTGCTTAACATTCTTTTTGCGCCGGCTTCAATTTCTTGATTTTTGGAGCCGAACCAGAACGGAGTGAAGAGCTTCCTCTACTATCGCATTCACCGCCATTACCAAACTACAACCCACAAATTCGGCGCAAACTCTTGCGTCACGACACCTACCTACAACACCTGCCTCCCCCGCTTGCTGAATGGTCAAAGAAGATTCATCCGAGGCTAACACTGTAGTTGATCTTCAGATTATTAAACAAAAAATACTAAACACCAAGACGCTTCTTGCACCAGACAGCTGTTGTTGTTAGCTTTGTCCTGGATAAGGAATAGGCAAGTGCCCCCTCTAAAGTGTTTCAAATGAATACAAATGGCTTCTCTAAACATGAACCAGACTCCGAGTCCCAAGTTGTGTGAAAAGAAATATAGGCACTGCAGGACACTGAAGAGCCTTGAACAGTTCTCTCTCCCCGAGCCCCAGAGCTAAAACGACACATGCATCATTCATACGGCTGTTAGAGGAAAATCTTACTCCTGTGTACACATGTCACCGGTCACACTGCTTCTACAGTACAGCCGATGTCTGGGACTGTATCGTCACACATCATGGGTATTTTAGTTAAACCTGTGTTATCAAGAAAATCTTTTTTTTCCTTAACATTAGAACCGTTTCTGAAATGTGAGTAGTTCTACCTTGGTAGAGCATTGGCGTTTGAGCCAAAGGGTCGTGGGTTCGAGCCCGACTTTCACCATCGACTCCCACTGTCTGCTGTCGTTGTGTCCTTAGCAAGACACTAAAGCTCTGGAAACACCTGATGCCACAGTGGGGCAGCTGCGACTGTAAAGTGCCAAACTGCCGTTGTGTCCTTAGGCAAGACCCTTTACCCCCATTGCCTAGAATGAGTCTGGTGTGTGTGTGAATGGTTGGTGGTGGTCGGAGGGGCTGATGGTACATACTGGTTGACTCGCTTCTGTCAGTGTCAGATTCCATGAACATTCTCAGGTCAGACATCGAATCTCACAAAAACTTCTCCGGATCAGATGTGAATGCAAAGCCAAGAAACATGGAGGATGTTATTAAGAGCAAAGGCAACAAAACACACTGCAAAAAATATTGAAATACGAGTTCATAAATGCTTGAATCGAGTCATTTTTATCTAAATTTGAATACATTTGGTCTTAAAACAACATTTGTTGGGACAAAGCCATTTAGTCTTATTTCAAGAACTGTTGCTTTACTTTCTCATCCGTTGGCACATGCTGGTTGGCTCTCTTCTGTCAGTGTGCCCCAGGGCAGCTGTGGCTACAGTAATAGTTTGTCACCACTGTGTATGGAGTGAATGAATAATGTCAAGCGTCTTTGGGAGTCTAAAAAAGCGCTATATAAAATAAAATGATTAAATAATGCATTTTATTGCATCAATATTAAACCTTAGGACAAGCCCCGCTTACAAACCACAAGTTAATTTGTGCTAAAATAGCAAAATGGCAGTGCTTATTCCTTATTGTACCGTATCTGTGTAAACTAAAAAGATAAAACTCCAGACCAGCAGCTGACCCTGGACAGAGGGATCAGGAACATACTGAACAATGTCCAGTTGAGTCCCGGAGAATACATTTTACTCCAATTGCATGTAGGACATTAATAAATTGGGTAAAATTGAAAAAACAAAAACACAACGAAGAGCTCTTGAAAGTCCATTTTGCATGATATGTCACAATGACCACAGAGCAGTTTGCTCGGGTGTCCCTGGGGCGGTTGTTGAGTCAGACTGTGTGTGCGCTGGGCCGTGGTAATAAGGCAGTGCTGACGGCTGCGGCTCCTGAAGCGGCCAATCACAAGCGTGACTTTAGCTCCGAGCGCACACACACACTGAAAACCCGAGAGCTCAAAAACTACCTGCCACCTCCTCCTTCTCCAAACCCTCGCAGGGCTAAACACGACTGTCCATTCTCATCAGAGGAGCACTCCAGGGGCAGACTGAGGAATAGAAGAAAGAGTAAGGAGGGAAAATACAAAGTGTGAAAGAAAAAGGCGGAAGACGAGGGTTGAGACGGTGAGGGAAAGGAAGAGGATATTATGACACAGTGTTGGGCCACATGCATGCGACTGGGATTATGGGCAGTAATGAAAAGCATTCTTTAAGGGGTCAGTTTGAGGCTACACAAAGAGCAGAACCCCCTGGACCCTGCTCACCAAAAAACAATTTTATCAGATTCTTCCCTTTTACACACATTGGTTTTAACATTAGCCTTTTCAATCATTGAACTGTGTATTAAGTATTTTTTATGTGTTTTTCTTCCCATTGCCTTTGAATCAATATATTCAGTAAAACACAAGAACTTCTATGTATTAAATGTAAAAAGTTTATTTTGTCGTTTTATCTTTAATCAGAAAGTTCGAAGCTAAACGGTAAAGAAAGCTACTTCTGCTTAATAACCTGGCATGTTTACTTTTTTGTCTTATTAAAAGAACCTTCTAAGGTAGGGCTTCCATGTTTTGGTAATTTTGTCCATTACAGCGCAAAACAGAAATGTATTTGTAGTAAAATTTTACTGCTCATCAAACCACGGAGCATTTATTTAGAATGGTTTTGGGTGGTATTGTGACCATATGGTGTGGTAATATTTGTAATGGTCCCAAAGCAAAAGTTCAGACTGTATATAGATTATCTCCCATGGGAATCACCTGGAATCACTCCAGTCTTCCTCTTTCTACACTCAATCATCTTTCCCCGGGTAGCATTTACTTCACTCAGAGCTCAGCTCGTGTTGCAACCCTCCTCCTCCTCATCACCCCCTCCACAATCTTTTCCTGTCCACAGCTCATCAGTTCTGCTTCCACTACCGTCATCATCACCATCATCATTTTTTTACGTATACAATTTCAAATAATTAAAGTCCAACTGTATACAATATTCACCAGTATTACATCAATATAAATACCATCCAGCCATCCATTTTCTACCGCTTCATCCATTGCCAGGTTGTGGGGGCAGCACACACAATGAATAAATACAATAAATAAATACAATTAAATAAACAAAATAAATAAATAAGAATAATACAAATAAAATAAAAATAATACAAAATAAATACTTAATTAATAAATGCCATTGAGCCTAAATAATGCAGCAACACAAGTTTCAAACAAATGCACTTTCCGTTTTGTTCCAGGAATAATGAAACTTAAATCTGAGCCTGAGAACTTCTTTAAACAGTTCACAATATTACTGCATGAGGCATGGACAGTCTGTGAAGAACAATAGTTACATTTAAATTCTTTGGAATATGCAGCCCACTTGGAGATACACCTTCACCCATCAAAATGCACAATATCATTTACAACATATTTCATTTTTTGTTTTCAGTAAACAAGTGCCTTTTTGTGATTAAAGTTCAGTGGATCAGCCGAGCCTCTTCCCTCCACACTAACACCTCCACATTCTAATAAGCTGTACACATATTGATTCAGACACACTTAGATGTAACTTACATAAGCAACCTTTCCTCAGCTCGGAGCCTAGAGATGGTTATGAGAACGCTGGGGCCCCACTGCCCTGGCCCCTCTCTGTCTCTATCTCTCTTTCAGTCTCTCTCCGTGTCTCTGTCTCTCTCTCCTCTCTCTCTCTCTCTCTCTCTCTCTATGTCTCTCAATCTCTCTCTATGTCTCTCCCCCTTCTCTCTCTTCATATCGATATCCAATCTCTCTCTGTCTCTTACTTTCTTCCTGTCTCTCTCTATCTCTCTCTATTTCTCTCTCTGTCTCTTTTTCTCTCTATCTCTCTTTCAGTCTTTCTCTGTCTCTCTCTCCCTCCCTCTCTATCTCTCACAATCTCTCTCTCTCTCTCCCCCTTTCTCTCTCTCCCATCTCTCTCTGTCTCTCTCTCTTTCTCTCTGTCTCTCTTTCATGCTTCTCTCTGTGTCTTTCTCTCTCTTTTCTCACTCATTCTCTCTCTCTCTCTCTCTCTCTCTTTCTGTCTCTTTCTCTCTCTCTTTCTCTCTCTGTTTCTCTCTCCTCTCTATCTGTGATAAGGAAAAAAAACAGAAACGAGAAGATGCCAAAGTTGGGACAATAAAAGAAAAATGTGTGGGTATAAAAGTACCGTTGAAAAAGTGTGTATTTTTGCAGAGTGCGAGGTGGGACATTTGGACCAAAGTGTTTTCTCTGTTTGGAGTCAATGTGTCGCCCACGAATCAAAGCACAACATCCGTGAATCCTCCGGGCCAAACGCGCAGTAGCAGGTGTGACCAACAGGGGGTTTCATCCTGTTTGAAATGTCGCCGCTGGCATCGGAGCCGTGCCCAAGTTTGGAGATTGAGTTGTGGCTGAATATGGGCAATGACAGGGGTGTAAAGTCATGAAAAATACTAGCATCACTATCGTTTTATTGTGAAATGTTGGCTAAAAGCATGTATTTGATAGCACTTAAAGGTGATCGTTATAGTGTATACATGGGATACTGTACTCTCATGTACAGTAAGTATTTTCCAACTATAATAGTTCTAAAATAGACCCTCAGTAATGTTTGTTGGAGGAAAATACTACAGTTAAACCAATGACAAGAGGCCTCAAGTCGTTTGAATCATTTTGACCAATCAGGAAGCTGCAGAGGTGAGTATGGGCGGGTCTAACCAATTCTTGTCCTTCTTTCTTGTCTTTCACTCTCTCTCTCCACAAATTGAAAGGTATACATTCACTTTAAAGCTGGGCCACCTAACTTTTTTGTTTCATAAATAAAATTGTACTTGAAAGTTTACACCCCCAGTTGAGATAACATTGTTTTGGATATCCCCAATTTGAATATTGATTATGTATTCATTTGATCAGGGATAATGCATAATAAACCCTCTGGCTAGTGCTAGAATAAAGCCATATATTTCTATTTTTCAAATGATGCAGTAATTGAGGCCCTTCGAGGAGTTCTCAAATGTGCAGTTCATGCAAGGTGTCCCAGGAACTTATTTTTCTATTGCAAAAATTGGGCAGCTTTCCTGGGCACTCTTCTCAGAAAAGATGAAAGATTACTAACACAGAAGACTCCAAGCTGCCACAGATGTTAAAGGGATGTGAATTTTCAACAGAAAGAGTCTTATAAAAGTTAAATATTTGGCACAAGTCTGACCACATGCTAACCATTTTATCTGTATAGCAATTTGAAATAATTTTCTCATGGATGTTGTTTTGTGCATGTGTTATTGCAAGTGTCCAAGTAAATATCAAACAGTGTTATTCGAATCCATCATAACTGACATTATGTTTGTCAAACAATTAGATCCAGTTTGTTCAGATGAAATCCTCATGAATGGATTCAAAGTCGTTCTCGCTTTTGTTTCTTTTTCAACAGTGATTTCATGTCATGGAACTCATTCTATATAACAATGTTTATGTTGAGCCACAGAGCTGTTCTATAAGATGTTGGTGGTTTGTTTGTTGACTTCAGTCTCTTAAGTTATTGGTTGTTGATGCGTATAGGCAGAAGTACATTAAAATGACTAAAGACACAATTCTTCTGATGCACAAAAAACAGAACTGTTTTAACCTGGGATTGAACATTGTCAGAGTAAAAGCCTGTCTCACATTTTCAAGAAGACTACCCAACGTTTAAGCTGCATGAATTGCCCCATGTTTGGTTCTGACTCTATGCACCAGCAGGAGTCCAGTCCCTGTGCTCCTCAGAGTCCGAGTTGGTTCATATGGGACTAACATGTCACAGATGTACTTTGATGCGAGCACATGGAGAGACTTAATTAACGGATTAATCCCCGTAGGGCAATTCATCCTCTGCATTTGACCCATCCTGACGCCATTAAGGCATATGCCGGGAGCAGTGGTCGCCGTAGTAACAGCGCCAGGGAACCCATCTCCATGGTGTTGATGCTCAGCTTGGTCAGGACTACCACAGCTGAAGGATTTTATCTTTTGTACATGTTTTTGAACGCAAGCAGCTGAAAATGAAACAATCTACAGTATATGTGTAACATTTTTTCCACTTTTCATTTTTTTAAATATTTTCTAAACCTTGGACAGCTACATTTCAAACTAGTTGTGTGCTCTCAAAATAAAAGGTGATCTTGCTTTGATTTCATCTCGGAATGATGGAAATGGAAACTGGAAATGGAAAAGTTAATTGAGGATAATCACTTTCAACTCTCAGCCTAAAAACTCACTCAAGGCTTTTTCATACAAGTTTGTAAAAGATGAGAAGTGTTTTCTAGATGAACACACAACACTGGGATCTGACTCGTTCACAGCTGCTTGGATGGGGACACCGCCTGTAATAAACCTTGTGATGCTTTGAAAGTAATGTTTTTGAAAAAGAAAAGTGGTTTTTTTCATGACTGATGAATCCAATCTCCATCAAAGACCCTCTGGCTAAAGCAGTGACCGGAGTTGGTAAAGTTGTTTGTATATTATTATAACCACTTTTACATTTTTCTGATGTGTCACATTTCATTCACTAAATGTAGATGTTTTCCCTGTTTATGTTCAGACATTCTCCCTGTCATTTTCTGCAGTCTCAAGAATGAAATGTGTTTTGATCAAATCCACAGGAGTCGTCTGCTGCTTCTCCTGCTTCAGTTCTGCCTGGATCCGAACACAACCAGTCCCGACGCAATTAACACAAATCTCCATGTGGAAAGTTCACGGCTTGTTTACAGTGAATCAGAAGAGAGAAATATATATATATGTACTGCTATGTCATGGAGTATATAGTGAACCTTCCTCTAACAGTTGAGTAAAAAAAAGTCAAGCACTACAAGTCTGATGTGAGACTTTAAGTTTGATGAAGTTCTAAACTCAACTGAAACCATTTATAATACGGCAAAGCAAGTTTTTTGGTTAGCACAGTTCAGTTTTAAAATAAACATGCCATGGTTTTAAATAAAACTTTTTTGGAGACTCAAAGATGCTTGAAGTCATTCTTTCACTCCATACACGTTGGTGATAAACTACTACTGTAGCCACAGCTACCCTGGGGCACACTGACAGAAGCGAGGCAACCAGTATGCGCCATCGACCCC